AGCGTACGCGTTGTAAAACGGTAAAGCTGGCAGCGATATATAACAGACTAAAATGAACAATATCTACTAACACTATGTTTGAGCAATTACAGAAACACAATTTTTACTAACAGCACGCTTGGAACATGAAAGTTCTTATAAATATAAAACACATCATACAACCTTAATGAACATTAATCAATCAATGGGCCCTCCATACATAAAGTAGGCAACCCAACACCACAAGCAAAGGAAAAACCAACACCTCGTCCCCCACACGAAAGACTTTTAACTTCTTTCACTTTCTCGGGAAAATGATTTAGGGTTCGTTTGTAATTATCTTTAAATACTCGTAAACATTTTATTTTTCATTAAAAAAAACACTTCAAAAAATTATTTCGAACTGAAAAAAAATCTTGTTTTACTGAAATCGTACGCGTAAAAAAATATAAACTAAGGATCGAGAAGAATCGTACCTATACTTGTCACAAATCAATCTCTCGATTTCTACTTCTTTAGCATGTGTGTGGTACAACAAATATTTTCAATGATTGAACGACTCAATCCCAATTTTATATTTAGATCTCGAGACCATAAGGTTATATGTAAAATGGAATGAAAAGTATAATAAAAGTAAGAGCTACGCTATTGTGACACCTAAAACATAATAATGATATAAGGACTTGATGGTTACAAGTTGGGTATATAATGGCTGCCTACCAACTGTAGTAATGATAGGAGAGGGTAGCTCAATCGGTTGTTCGATATGTGAATGCATGCATTCCACGTCAATGATGATCGATAAATTGTATGGATTAAAGTCGGGATATAAACTATCAAATCGAACATAGTTCTACAAATCACTTAATATGCCCACACTGCTCGGAAACTGCTCGGAATCTAGCTCTGATACCATTTGTAATAGCCCAAGCCCACTGTTAGCAGATATTGTCCTCTTTAGGCTTTTTCTTCCGGGCGACTTGAGTGTCTAGCATCCTTGCTGGCACGCTGTTCGAAATCTGGCTCTAATACTATTTGTAACAACTCCAGCCCACCGCTAGCAGATATTGTCCTCTTTAGTTTTTTTCTTCCAGGCGACTTGAGTGCCTTGCGTCCTTACTGACACACTTCTCGAAATCTAGCTCGGATACCATTTGTAACAGCTCAAGCCCACCGCTAGTAGATATTGTCCTCTTTAGCTTTTTTTTTCGGGTGGCTTGAGTGCTTAGCGTCCTTACTGCACATTTCTTGAAATCTAGCTCTGATACCATTTGTAATAACCTTAGCCCACCGCTAGCAGATATTGTCCTCTTTAAGCTTTTTCTTCCGGGCGACTTGAGTGTCTAGCATCCTTGCTGGCATGCTGTTCGAAATCTGGCTCTGATACTATTTGTAACAGCTCCAGCCCACCGCTAGCAGATATTATCCTCTTTAGGTTTTTTTTCTTCCAGGCAACTTGAGTGCCTTGCGTCCTTACTGACACACTTCTCGAAATCTAGCTCGGATACCATTTGTAACAGCTCAAGCCCACCGCTAGCAGATATTGTCCTCTTTAAGCTTTTTCTTCCGGGCGACTTGAGTGTCTAGCATCCTTGCTGGCATGCTGTTCGAAATCTGGCTCTGATACTATTTGTAACAGCTCCAGCCCACCGCTAGCAGATATTATCCTCTTTAGGTTTTTTTTCTTCCAGGCAACTTGAGTGCCTTGCGTCCTTACTGACACACTTCTCGAAATCTAGCTCGGATACCATTTGTAACAGCTCAAGCCCACCGCTAGTAGATATTGTCCTCTTTAGCTTTTTTTTTTCGGGTGGCTTGAGTGCTTAGCGTCCTTACTGCACATTTCTCGAAATCTAGCTCTGATACCATTTGTAATAACCTTAGCCCACCACTAGCAGATATTGTCCTCTTTAAGCTTTTTCTTCCGGGCGACTTGAGTGTCTAGCATCCTTGCTGGCCTAGCAGATATTGTCCTCTTTAAGCTTTTTCTTCCGGGCGACTTGAGTGTCTAGCATCCTTGCTGGCATGCTGTTCGAAATCTGGCTCTGATACTATTTGTAACAGCTCCAGCCCACTGCTAGCAGATATTGTCCTCTTTAGGTTTTTTTTCTACTAGGCAACTTGAGTGCCTTACGTCCTTACTGACACACTTCTCGAAATCTAGCTCGGATACCATTTGTAACAGCCCAAGCCCACCGCTAGTAGATATTGTCCTCTTTAGGTTTTTTTTTCCGGGTGGCTTGAGTGCCTAGCGTCCTTACTGCACACTTCTCGAAATCTAACTCTAATACCATTTGTAATAACCTTAGCCCATCGCTAGCAGATATTGTCCTCTTTAAGCTTTTTCTTCCGGGCGACTTGAGTGTCTAGCATCCTTGCTGGCACGCTGTTCAAAATCTGGCTCTGATACCATTTGTAACAGCTCCAGCCCACCGCTAGCAGATATTGTCCTCTTTAGGCTTTTTCTTCCGGGCGGCTTGAGTGTCTAGCGTCCTTACTGGCACACTTCTCGAAATCTGGCTCGGGTACCATTTATAAAAGCCCAAGCCCATCACTAGCCGATAATATCCACTGAGGTTTCCACGTCCTTATAAAAAAATTTAAGGCATTAATATTTGTTGTTTGATATTAAAAAAAAATCCAAAAGAGTTAATATGGTAAAAATATAACATAATTAATTTAATTAATTAATATTAATTCATAATTATTATTTATCTTTAATTAATTAGTAAATATCAATATATTATTTGGACTTGATAAATTTTAACTAACGTTTATAATTACTTGGTAGTAATATTTTATGTTATTTTACTCTTTATATAAAATTTATTATTATTATTTAATTAATTATTTTTTTATTTAATATTATATTATACTAAATTGATTATTTGTCAAAATGTCTAATGAAATATTAAAAAGTTCTAAAAACAAAATTTTAGTTTAATTTGATAATGAATTTATCTTCAAAATCTACCGACCGTCATGGTCGTACATCTTCAACCATGCAGTGCCGTGATCTTGATACGCTCACGACAAGTTTTAAGGACTCAAGTCCCATTCACATTTTCTTGTCCGGTTTTGTGGCTTCTTTAGATTATCGGCGAGGTTAGTCTTTGCCAACCGAACACAACTCGTGCGGAATCCATGCTTGATCGCCCACACACGTCATTCGTGCGTGCATGTTCAATCGTGTGCAATACAATCACGTCACATCTCATTGTCATCTCGGTTCCCAACAACACAATCCATGCATCGTGATACCATCTCATATCTTAGAAAAACATCAACCATCTAGGTTTGCTTGAACACATCCGTTGGGAACTGACCCACGTGTAGATCATTCATCAGGATATCCCGAACATTCATCCATCCGGGTGCCCTCGAGTATCAGACTCTCCCGTGTCCATGCTACTAAACCATTTACGACATACGTTTCAGATAGTAGTGCATAATCCAACCTCTAATACACGAGTTGGAGCGCAATACCGACAATGTCGTACGATACTATCTTTGAAATACCCTTCTTAAAAAGGAAGTCATCTGAGACATTTGTCTTGTGACGCTCGCCCACGTTGTGACACATATCTGTGCCATAGGTTAGCTCGCCCACGTTGTCTCGAACCCAAAAGTGTTTTAGTTTTTTTTTTTTATTTTATTATTATTATTATATAACTAATATGTAAAGAGTTAAAATAAATTAAAATTTTATATTATTTTTTAATCTAAAATTCCAAAAAATATATATTATCCCATACTATTTTTCGTACAATGTAATAATATTTTTTAATACTATAAGAAACTATTTCATTAATTAGAATCTTTATAATAAGTGAACTAAATAAATAAATAAAAATAATATATATTTTTTAATTTATAACCCTAAATTATATTTTATTTTTATTTTATATGTTTTAATAATAACATTTAACTAAATCCATTAAACCTTATTTTATATTTACTAAAATTAAACTATAAATTTCGAGACAAATCACATGGTAGGTATTTAACTAACCTTATCTCTAATTTCTATGTTATATTAGTAACGGAAATTTCATCGATTTTGAACGTCGAACATTTACAAGTAATAAATAATTACTAATATTGGTTATAAATGACAAAAACTGAAAGTACGGTAAGGTTGTAATCCTATTTTCGGATTGGTCGAGTTGATCCGACAAAAAAAAAAAATCCGTAAACCAATTGAAATTTTCGATTTTTCTAAAATTCAACTCAATCCAAACCGTAAAAAATCTAACCCAGATCGAATTGATCCGACTAAAAAGAAAAAAAAAATCAACCCACTAATCGATTACAATTTTTGATATTTCTAAAATTCAATCTAATCTAAATCCGAAAAAATCAAACCCAACCCGAATTTTACTGTTGGATTAGGTTAGGTAGTAGGGGTGTACATGGTTCAAGTTAGGTTGGGTTGAGGAATTTTTTTGACCCAACCCAAAAGTTTAGGTTGGTTGGTTGGGTAACTCAACCCAACCCAAAAATTTTCACAACCCAACCCTTTATTCTCGGGTTGGGTTGTTAAAAGAAAAATTATTTATCCACAATTTATAATTATTTCGATACATTTTTAATTTTTAAATAAAAGATAATTAAAAATTGACAAACAAACACAAATCCATCTGTAATTAAAATTTAAAGATAATATATATATATAACAAAAAAATATATATATATTATAAAATTTGAAGTATAATTAAAATTAATATTTTTTTATAATAATACCTTCCCCTCCAACCCCTTCACCAAAATAGGTTTTATTATTATTATTATTATTATCAATCAAATAATTGATTAAAAAAAAATTGGATTTTTCTCATTCAATTATTAATAAAACAATAATTCATGGGTCCCGCGTCTCTTTGGTCACTAAATGCGGTGTCAGAACCGTAACATATAAAAATATAAATATAAATAAAATAAAATAAAATAACACAACCCATACAGAAAATATTACACAAATAATTTATTATGTATTTATAAAAAATTAAATACATATAGAGATAGATAGACAGGGAAGGAGGCACAGCTGCTGTAGTGTGCATAATTTTTCCACCGACGCCAGATCGACAGAGCGTCTGGTAGGGATCGCCACCGTTATCGCCATCGCCGCCGCCGACTTTGAATCCTGGCCTTATCCATATCCAGTCACGTCTACGGAGGGAGAGAAATGACGTCGTCTGCAGGCGGGATGTACATGGCTTTCTCTCCCTCTCCCTCGGCTCCTCACTCTCCTCATCTTCCTGGTCTTCGTTCTCCGTCCTCTGTATCTGCGGCTGCCGCTGCTCTACTCGAGCAAGAGAAGTAACTAATCGAATTCTCTTCTTTCTCTCGCTTTTGTTTTGTTTTTTTATTTGATGTTTGTTGCTTCGTGAGATCTGTGATTTGTGTGTTGCCGATCTGTGTGTTGATTGTTTTTTTGGATCAGTCTTGTTTTGTTTCTGAGTTTTGGATGATTGATTTGTATGATCGGAGCTGTTACTCATGTGACTGGCCTCATCTGACTAACCTGCTGGATAGTTAGCTCTTGAACTGTTTTGTTTTGGACTTGGCTAGTTGAATATGTTACTTGTTTTGTGTGATGCTTGTTTGATTGTTGGTTGTAATTGTTGATGCAAGATCTGAGTTTCTTTCCACTTTTTTGTGCTTGTGGACCAAACTGTCTTGATTATGGAATGGTGTGTGCGCGTTTTTCTGTTCTATTTTCTGTTTAGTTGATTAGCGTCCGAGATTTTTTTTTTTTNTTTTTTTTTTTTTTTTTTTTTTTTTTTTGTGGCGTATTTAATATTTATCTGATTACATTTTATTTTGTGTTCTTTGTTTTCTTGCAGGTATCTCTCTGAGTTATTGGCAGAGCGACAGAAACTTGGTCCATTTCTGCCTGTGCTGCCTATTAGTTATCGCTTGCTGAACCAAGGTGAACTTTGTAGCCTCAACGAAGTAGCTTGTTGTGAAATAGTTTGCTTGCATTGTTGTTTCTCGTTTGGTTGATTGGCTGGAAATCTTTGGGATGAGGTGTTATTGCTCGTTGAAATTCAGAACAGAGCATGTTTGTTCAATATACAGGCGTGACTGAACTAATCTAACAGAAACTCAATCCAACGAGTAAATGCGATGAGCAATTATCTGATCTAACTTTATTGATTTTGCTTGATTGTTGCCTTTCCATTCTGCTAATACCTTGGTTATTTAAGTTGGTAGAGGTATGAAGTGATTAAATGGCTTTGCATAAAACTGTGTGTGTTTGTGAATACTGGAGGGTGATTTTTGATACCCAGAGGATATTACAAACATGACAAGTACAATAATATTATAGTCGATAGTGATAAACCTCAGTGAATACATTCTAACTTGAGAAATTATTCCTTAAAAAATGAGGATATAGTTTCTCCCTATCTCTAATATGGAGCAACCGTGCCTACCTGTTGTAAAAAAGCGTTTTTCATGTTACATGGGTTGTCTGGTTTACATCTTTTGGATCAAGCTAAAAGCTTACAAGTAGTGATGCAAGCTCACATGTAAGTGCTCTAGTGATGTTACCCAGAAGTTCAGTAGCGAGACTAATATATTTTTTTTCGTCTCTTTTCTTGGTGTCATGAAGAATTGATCCTTTTTTTTTTTTAAACTTACCCATTGCCTTTCTACCATTGTATACTTGTCTTAAATGGTTGCTTAACTTCGCATTCATAAATGTTAATTTTTCTGATGGAAATTCTAATATACCTATTAATCCTAACAACTGTTTGGAACTTATGTGATTTTTTTCTACCTCTGCTGCCTCTTGTCTTCGTTTGTTTCTTAGTTTCTGCAGCCTATACAGTTTATGAACCTCCTTTCTTAGCGTTTGGTGCAATATTACATATTGATATTGCTCTGCAGTATTGGGGCTCGCAATTTTATGTTTTTCTACGTTTGACCAAATTTCTTTATGAAGGATATTTTTTTCACTGACTCAGAAGTAAAAAACACCTTGTTGTGTGTCCATTGTGTGGTAACGGCTAACTTTTTAACAAATGCGCTGACTGGTACATCTTGTTCTTGAAAATTGACATTTTTGGAGCAGAAATATTGCGTGTAACTACACTATTGGGGAAGGCATCAGTTTTAGGTCAAAGTGGGCTTGAACATGCCAGCCCCCTGGCTTCTGGAGGAATATTTTCAAATGGAGGTGCTGACATGAATGGATGGACGTCACGGTTTCAATCAGAAGTACGGATACTAACCATTAACATGACCTTACTGTCCATCTAATTTACTGTACTTAAGAAGCATCTGTGACGCAAACATTTTACATTTTTGCTAACTCGTAACAATTTCACTTGGGGACAACTTCTCTAATTAAAAAATGAGACTTAGCTTTTTTTTTTTTTTTTTTGCTTAGGTCTTTTATTTTTTTTAGCTTCTCTAATGGTTCTAACAAATTGGTTCTTCACCTTCAGCCTTCTTGATAAACAGGATGATGGTGTTCAATAAAATCTGAGGAGCTTACTTTCAAATTTTTCTGTGTGTGTGTGTGAAGGAAACTCTCTGTGAGTAGTTAGCTGGGTTGACTCAGTTTTTTTTTTAGTGACAAGGGTCTAATATTCTAATATAGAATGCTGACTCATTAGTGAATTTGGTTTACCCCTTGTTATCTTGGTGAAGGGGTTTTCAAGAAACTTTACTTGGTCTTGGAATTTAAAATACATAAATAAGTGGCCCCAGGAGTAATTTATGTCAGTATTAGCACATTTCTATGGTTGTCTAATGGTGTGTTTATTAAGGAAGATTCATTACCTTGAACGTACACCCCAACCCCACAAAGGGAAAAAAGAAATTTAGAAAAAAAAGGCTACTTTAAGTTCCACATTCTGGGATTTCCTTTTACTCATTTGAGCACCAAAATGTTCTCACTTTCTATGCATGGTTACAATGTTATTTCTCAAGGTATGTACTGTGTTCAGTACTCTTCTCACTTCCCATTGATTGCTGTTCTAGAATCTCTGACTTTGATATGTATTGTTGCTGAAAAGCTCCCATGTTCTTCATTCCAAAGCTATATTGGCTGCTGTACATATCTTAACTAGCATGTTTAGATTTATTTTAATTTTCTGGTTTGAACTCTATATAATGATATGATATGCAGATGTCAAGTTTATTACAATCCTCACCAGCACAAAATTGGCTAAGTTCCCACGGTAGTTCATCAGGCCTTATTGTGAAGAAAACCATCAGAGTGGACGTTCCTGTTGACAACTATCCCAATGTATGAATTATCATCATGTTTTATCTGTTTATCTATTTCTTCCCTTTTTTTTTTTTTTTTGTTTAATTTCTGTTTTTAACATATTTTGCTAATGGAACTGGATTGAACTTTGTTTGTAGTATAACTTTGTTGGCCGCCTCCTTGGTCCTAGGGGAAACTCTCTCAAGCGAGTGGAGGCAAGTACTGATTGTCGAGTTTTGATTAGAGGGCGTGGTAGCATTAAGGATCCAGCTAGGGTAATTTACTATAAATTTCATGTTCTTATAATGTTGCATGTCATGATTGTTTTGCATATCCTTTTCATGATCGTATAATTCATTTGCAATTATATTATATCGGAAAATAAAAAATTCTATCACTGAACTTCTAAGATGGTCCCACTCTAGTCTTCAAACTTGTAATTTTATCTATTACAACCTCATTAAGAACGGTTGCTATGCACTTTTCCATTAAAATAAATAAAATAACTTATTTTCACTTAATCTGTTAAGATTTCTATTTTTCTGTTGATTTTTTTTTTCTTTTAAATCAGGGAATGATAGAGAGAATGGTTATAACATGACTCATATCTTTAAATTTGATAACATCTCTATATTTTTTGGAACTTTTTTAATATGAACGTAAGGAGGTAGAGGTAAATCCTCCTCTCGTTTCTTCTATTTTCTCCAATCGCTCGCCCAGTCAGCTCTTTCATATCTGTCTCTCGAATAACTTCTACCCCCAGATCTTAGTTTCCTTGTCCACTCTCTTTTTTGCTTATGCTTCTATTACCCCCTTTTTTCCTTATTTGAAACCCTTCTCCTATGCCCTTATATTGGTATATTTATTTATTGTTGATGAAGCACAATAGACAATTTAATAATATTGTTGGTTTTACTTTCGTTATTTATTCTTCAAAATATATTGGATTTTTTTTTTAATATTTGAGGTTTTGCAAATCTCTGCCTTGAGAATCTGTTTTGTAATCCCAAGTCTTGATGGGGATCCTATCTTTTTCATTTTTTATTTCCTTTCTTTAACACAACTTTCGTTTCCCATGATTTGTATTAAGATTACATCGGAGTGATTGGGATTAATTTTATGTAATTAAATGTTTTAATTAATAAACGTATTGGATTAATGGATTAACTTTTAATTATAAATTTTATGATGAACCTCTTCCTTCCTCCCTAGGGGAACTGGGACTGAATTGTAACTATCTTCATAGCTTAGGGTGAGTTTGTAATTTTCTTGGTATGTTTAATAGCATAGTTTACAGATTACCATAGGGCTGATGATGCAGCGAATATAATGAATTGAACAAAAAATTAAAGGACTACCATATTGGTAACTGATAGGGGTAGTATTTTACAATTTTCTATTAATATACCCAAGGTTAAAATAGATTTTGAATCTTATTTCTCTTAATGTTTGTGTCAATTTGGCTCATGTGCTCTTGTCATTTTCATTCTTGTGTGTAACCTTTGATTGAAACTTATATTTCATCCCTAGAAATCTCATGTGGCGTGTTTTTTGTACACATAACAATGAACTTAAATGTTGCCATTTTTCTCATGACGTGGAAGTCCAGTTTGCTTAGATCACACAGTTTTTTGTGGTTGATAAGTATAAAGGGGTAAATATGGACAAGTTTTAAGAGGTTAATGGAAGCCTTTAAGAGATTATCTTGCTAGATGGAGACCTTTGTCGTAGGTTGCCTTCCTTATCGTGGGCTCTTGTATTCTTGTTTTTTTTCAATGAAAGTTTGGTTGTTCAAAAAAAAAAAAAAAAAAAAAAAAAAAAAAAAAAAAAAAAAAAAAAAAAAAAAA